TTGAAGATTTTCAAAGCCTTTAAAATCTTTAAAATCTGAAAAGCTTAGGTTTTTTAAACTTTAAAGATTTTTAAAATTTTAAATCGTTAAGTCTGGGCTCCAGGCCACCGACACCTATTTAAAATTTTAAAAATCTTTAAAATCTTTAAAATCTGAAAAGCTTGGTTTTTTAAATTAAAGATTTTAAAGATTTTAAAGATTTTTCAAATTTTAAATCGTTAGGTCTGGGCTCCAGGCCACCGACACCTATTTAAAATTTTAAAAATCTTTAAAATCTTTAAAATCTGAAAAGCTTGATTTTCAAAAATTAAAGATTTTAAAGATTTTAAAAGCTTTTAAAATCTTTAAAATCTTTAAAACCTGAAAAGCTCAGGTTTTTTAAATTTTAAAGATTTTAAAGATTGAAAAAACCTGAATTGATATAGTATTGATAAACAAAGCAAAGCCATACGTCAAATAGACCCTAAAGGTCCTACGTACATACAACTATACCGTAGCCTGGGCTCACCAAAGGTGTGGGGCGTTCCTATGTACAGAATTCAACACCCTGCCTCGAAGTCCTTGTGCTGTACTTCGATCGGTCTGCGGTCGGGCATACCTCCGCCCGTGACTGCATAGGCTTTGCCATTGCAAGTCCTTGGGTTAAACACTCCGTGCAACCCACCTTTTTACCGTCCCCCAATTAGGGAGGTGTGTCAGACCGTCCATGTCCTGACATTCGTACAGTAACAAGTACTTCGTCCTAGTGAAATAACTTTTATATATTTTTTGCGTTAGTGTTCTTTCTTTTTTTGTGCTTTTGTTGCTGTGTGTTCCGAGGTGAAACTTTTTCAGTCTTGCCTACACTCACTGCTCTGTCTCATGCTCGTCCACGATGTAGGGCTTAACGACTTCCGAACAACGTACGCTCCTCCGTGCTGTCTGGCGTACTGGGATCCGCTACTTGCCTTGGGCTTCCAAACAGATCCAATCCTGCTCCTTGGGAGCTTTCTCCAGGTGTCTCATACGTCTCCTGGCATTGCTCACAATACGCTTCATACGAATCCTGACACTCTTGTGACATTACCGTGTTTCCCATTTCTTCTACGGTTACCATCCTTCCACGGAACTCGATCTTCTCTGGTTCCTTCTGAATCGGCTCCTGAGTTTCCGGTGAGACGACTCCTTTCAAGGCTTCCATTCCACGAACGTAGTTTTCATCGCTTGTCTCCGCATCCTGCGTGATTCTTCCAGATGTGATTCTTCCACCACGTCGGTAGTCTTCCTCACTTGTGATGGGCATACGGGTCCCGTCCGTATGTACAATTGCTGGCGTTCCCATCGCTGCTCTTCCACGTCTCTTCAGGGTTCCTTTCCCTGTGCTACTTTTCTGAACTCCTGCATTCCATTCATGCATTGTCTCTTTCGATCCGCGGGGTTCATCCGAACTCTTTCCAGTAGCTTCTTCTGCTTTCATACGGTCGTAACTCTTTCGCCATTGGGCAGTCGCATATTCATTGATACACGGTGTACAGGCGCATTTCTGGTGATTCTCTTTCTCCCTTGTACACTTCCTGATTCCGCACCAGTAGCATAGCTTCGTGCATCCTCCGGTAGACTCTACTTCATACTCAAGGTCCATTACCTCCCAGTCGCTTTCGTCTGGCATTGGTGGCTCCACACGTCCACGGCGTTTTCTCATGCTACCTTCCGGCTTCGTCTCTGGGAAGCAAACCCAACAGTGTCTGTAGCCCTCCGCTACAGCTTCACTTTCTTCTTTCCAGATCCATTTGCCAGAACGCATATGGCTTCCTTGAACGTGCCAACATGTTCCCTTGTGAAACACACGGGCCTTTGACCCTGTCGATATTTTCACCATACCGACTCCTTTGATCTGGTCCACCGTGCGCATACACTTCTTCCACATACTGATGGCATACGGGGCTGCGAGTAGCACTCTGCAATTTCCACATTGTGGCTCCTGATAGAACCATAGTCCGAGTACAACTCGACCAAAGACCATTCACTTCCTCCTTCTGACACCATTGTCGTCCTATACTTCCATCCTGGAAAGCATCCTTAGGATCCATATAAGTCGTTCCTTGATACAAAACAAAAGGTGTACCGTCATCCATGATCGTCCAATTACCACTGGGAGTACTGTCCAACAGTTCCCGTAAATAGTTTGGAATACGTACTGTGACGCTTCTCTCCACTGCAGTCCGACTGTCAGTGATTCCTCGCGAGCTTCCATCGCTCCGACTTGTTCCCGTCCAACGGGTGTTACGATCACTTCCGACAACAGATAATCTACCTAACAAACAACAACTGTTCCGTTTGTAAAAGATCCTCGCGTTTGCCTTTCCATCTGGGCTAACCAGAACCATTGACGACACTGTAAGGTTCCACTGAGCACTAAGAGCTCTTTCACCCTCAGGTACTTCGGGCTGGTACTCCAGTCTCCAGCCATTCTTCAGCAGTCTTCCCATCGACAACAGAATGTTTGTCGCATCGCTTACAATGAAGCTTTCCGAAATACTTGGGGCTGTCCAACAGTCCTCTCCTTGTTCCACTGAGATCACTGCCGTGACCATTCCTGCTGACTTGATTGCATTCCCTTGGGCATCCTCCAACATGATACCCGTTGTTCCTGTGTTCATGCGTGTAGCCTGCGGATGTGAACTAGGTAACAAACTGGCATCCGATCCTGAATCCAAAATGATAATCTCGAGTGCTTCTTCGGGTACTGTCTCTTCTGCTTGAACTGCTCGAACTACTTCGTGGGTGTCTATAACAGACCACTCGCCATCTTCATCCGTGGCATCCATCTCATACCACTCTGCTACATCATGGAACTCTTCACGAACCATTCGAACTTTCTCAGTTTCGGTCTTCTTTTTCTCCTCCATCGCTCTGAGGTGAGACTCTATCCACTCGTTCTCTCGCTTCACCGCATCCTCGATGGCTTTCTTGTCGTAGGGCTTTCCTTCACTCTTCAGTTTCCTCTGTTGCCTCAGGTAGTGTTCTTCTCCTGGATAATGTTCTGGTACTCGTGGGATTCCAGACTCTGTTGGTGGTGCAACTGGCTTGCACACTGGTTCCAGGCGTGTACCACAACCTTGGCAGATTCCAGTTGGTTCCTCAGATCCAAGCTCCTCCTCTGAGTCTGTAAAACCGGGACTGGGTAGTTCACCGAAAAATGGATTGGTGATTTCCTCACCTTCTACAGTTTCATCTGCAACTTCTCGAACCATACGGATGGTGTTGACATACGTGATGTCGATGTCGGACTCGTCCTCCGAGTTGATCGGGAAAGTCTCCGGATATTCTTCAGTATGGTACGCCCTGGCGGCGTGTATTTTCGAGGTTGCAGGTTTTAGTCGTTTTCAGGATGTTGACTTTGTTCTTCTCCATTGCATGCTTCTAGGTACGCCTTTCGTTGTGCTGGCAATGTTATTCTCTACTGTATGCCTGTAGGTATGTCTTTCGTATGAGCGTTTGTATCTTGTGAGCTACGTGTTTGAAAATGCAAGAAGTTACAATATAATACTCCACGTACGGCTGTTCAGGCCGAGCTAGAAGGGCCCCCGGTGTGGGGGGGGGGGGGGCGCCAAAAAAAAAAATATAAAATAATAATAATAATAAGCATATCCTTATTTTTTTTTTCTTTTTGGCGCCCCCCCCCCCCCCAAGAAACCCCTGTCATGCCCGGCAAATCCTTGTATCCGAGCTGTTGTATCCTCACATATACCCTAAATAATAGCGTTTCAGGTCGCGACCTCAACTTCAGCGTTGGCGGTGCTTGGCTTTTTTATCCGTATATGTACTGCACTTACCGTAAGCTTACACATATTTGCCGCAGATTTTTCCTATTATCCATCGTGTTCCTATCTCACGCGCGCGCCATGGTTCGTACGAAATGCTCTGGATGTCAGAAGTGGGGGCGGGATCGCTGCACCTGCCCGCCGAAGCCGAAGTCCAGCGAGTCTCCGAAGCCACAGTCACCGCATAGGCAGCCGACATCTTTCCCTAGCCGAACGCGGCCTACTTCATCAAAGGCATCCCGTCAGTCTAATAAACCGTCGACTCCACGGAAAAGTTCCACAGCTACGGAGCTCGAGTTGGAGCGCACTCGTGTAGAACGGTTGCGGCTGGAGAGTGAGAAAGCTACAAGAAAGAGAGCACGTAAAGCCGAGAGAGAGGAAATCGCCGCGCGTGTCGCCAAGACCAAGTATTGGAGCGGGGGGCGTTGGTCGTCTAAAGGACGCAACGAATCCTGGTCGAATACTTTTTGGTCTCAGCACAGTTGGTTCTCCAAAGGAGAAGAGCCAAACTGGAAGCGCAGCCGCTGCAGCGCAGTAGCCTTTCCCGAGTCAACTTTTCCGCCTCCTGGTCTCATGTGGGATGAGGCCGAGTTGAGTGCATATAATGATGGCTGCAACTAGTTACGCTTGCGAGCAAAGGCAGAAAAATCTGTCGGTCAGTATGCACTGTGACGGCAATCTAGGCGTATGACGATGTGTACATTACTGTTATATGTTCTAGTTTACAAAGCCGAGGAGAGACAGAAGCCAAGGACAGGGGACAGAGAGGGACAAAGGGGGACAGATGGGGGACAGAAGAGGACAAAGGGGACAAAGGGGGACAAAGGGGGACAAAGGGGGACAAAGGGGGACAGAGGGGGACAAAGGGGGACAAAGGGGACAAGGGGCGAAGGGGACAGACACGAAACAAGAGAATAGGAACTGAGGGAACAATAGAGACAAGGTACAGGGCGCACGATGAGGAAGAGGATGTACAGCAGCAATAGGAAGGCTGTAATACGGCATTGTACATACGCACGTCTTTTTCTCGCAGGAAGGTAATTCTTCACGAAGGATGCCCTTCTGCATCATGCTTTTCTTGCTACTGGAAGGTCATCCATCTTCTTCCTGATCATCATTCTATTTGTCTTCGACTCAGTTCAGTCTCTTGTCGCACACCAACGACCTGGCATGTCCGTGTAGTATCGTAGCCTATGCATGGACATTCCATCCTTGCTGTCTGTTAATGCCTCAGCATTTCTCGAGCTTTCAAGCTACAACTTCATTCGCGCGTCCCTTGTCGTCAGTGCTGACATGTCCAATTCTTTGGAGAGTCAGTTGGAACATCTCATGCAGGAGGAGTATCCTCACATGGCGGGGTCTTCTCCTTCACCTCGTCCAGCGAAACGTCTCAGAGGTGCAAATCTGTTGGGGTCTCAGACGCAGATATCCCATGCAATGTTATGCAGGTCCGAGCATATATGTGTGTACTTCTTACTTTGTGTCCTGATGAGGTTTCGCGCCTTCTCTGATTTGGAGATCGACCCTCCTGCCCCACATATCTTGGCGCCGGCACCCGTCAACCCGAACGCGATCACAATGCCAGCCATGTACGAGCACTACATGCAGTGGGGTCGTAACTCCTTTCCAGACTTCGCTCCGGAGACCTGCAAACTCGTCTCCATTGCCAACTACATCTGTGACATGGATGCCGCAAACTATTGCATGTCTAACAAACAGAAGCTTATGTTGGCTATGTTGATTGATGGCCATAACTGGAGGGCTCATTGTCGACAAGCTTTTCGGTACGAGGACGGTGCTTGGGTTCGCTGTGAGAACTTGTCCATCGATGCATGGGATTTGCTGATGGCCTTGGAGGGCTTGTTTGTTCAAGTCTCTCTGGACTTGGCGGCGGCAGAGCGAGAGTCCCAATGGAGTTGGGAAGCTGCCGGCGCCGAAGTGCTCAATGTGATTCGACATCTTCTTCAACAGTCCGTGGATGTGATTAAAGAGCTATGTGGCGTCGCCAAGGCTAACAGTGATCATCTTCGCAAAGCTACAGGAAACAAGGCGTGGCATGCGAAATGGTCTCGCCGTGTCGCCGATATGCTCGCTCAATATCGGAAGACATGGGAAAGCGAAATCTCCTCAAAGCCTCTAACAAAGTTGTTTCTCTTGGAGTGGGATACACCTATGCCTAGATCGACAGGCGTCTGTTTCACAGACGTGTACCTCGACGAGAATTGGGATGTGGCTCCGAAATCACGTGATCGGAATTGCTACTTGAAACTGAACTACCGCTACCTGTATGAACATGTGATCGCACAGAACCCCAACATTGATGTCAACAACTTCCGTATCAGGCTTCGTCTCTTCCTCAAGTCTCTGTATTACAAGAACGAACATGGATTCCAAATCAAGTTGTGCTTCCTCCACGCAGCCTTCAAGCGAGTATGCACTTCCAAAATGATCTTCCAGATCGGCAAAGGTGGCGATGGTAAAGGAATGGAGGCAATATTGGATCGCACCTTGTTCGGGGACCTTGCTTCCTCCACATTGGATTGTGGGGTCTTCTTGGACCGGTCGGAATTCCGCAAATCTGCGGAGTTGGCATGGAACATGGCCAATGTTCGCATCCAAGAGATGGATCATAAGTCTTCCTTCCATGCCGACCTATGGAAGCGATTCGTAGTTGACGAAGACATCGACTGTCGGGTCAACTACGGCTTCACCACTAAGCGCAAATTTGGTGAGAGCTTGAAGGTGCAGGAGTTAAATTATGACAACATACCCACAATTGAGGAAGCTCGCGATCGCAACAAATGCTGCCAGCAGCTGGAGAGACGTATCGTGTGTCTTCGCATGGGGAAGGGGAAACTCGTCAGTGATGTCAATGAGGTGGACACAGACAACGGCGTCTTCCTGTTGATTCCACAGGACGAACTATCTGCTTTCCTATCACATGAGATAACGGCCGCCCTGTTCCTACGGGAATACTGCATTCCGTTCGACCTCGCCGGTGTTCATGCCGATCTTGTTCGTGATACCAAGTGGCGAGCTTCACGCCTTGCGGGCGGCAATGCTCCGCCTCCTGGAGACGAGACGGATGATGTGAATGAGTTCAATAGACTAGTCATTGCTGCTCATTCGCAGACGCCCTGGAAAAGAGTGTCGAAGGAGTACCTCATCCACAAGATTGAGGCTTTGCCAGGAGCCATATACTCGTCGAAAGGAAAGCGGACTAAACTTTCTTATCTTATCGAGGCCGCGGACAACGCTGACGTGATCCTCTTGAAGCAAGTGGATCATGGTTGTTTCCACAAGCTCCTTCTGGATTGGACAAAACTACAGTTGGCCATGGACAATCACGGCGGCATCGACAAGTACGGGTCCTGGACGGAATGGGGCGATCCCTTTGACTTGCTGCACACGCAGGAGAAGTGGACAGGGGCAGCCTTTCACCATGACGCACAAATTATCCGACAAAACAAAACTATCGTCGAAGATCTCAGTGCGCTCGGGCGTAATAGTGCACTCCGCTTGCAGGAGAAAGTGAATTTGACTGCGCTCATCGCCTACGCGCAAGCTGGCAATGATCGTCGTCCAGATCTCCTGGAAGCTTACATTGCTCGGCATCGTCGAGACGGATTGGTTAATGGAGACTTCTCCAGCATTGACATCGCCTACTACAGACGACCTCATTATGGACGCTTGTTGTCGCGAGGACCTTCTGGTCAAAAGCTCACGCGTGAAGCAAGGTTCATTGCCTTCGGCTCTCACTGCGCCGAAGTCGACGCTCCTTCGTGCCATCCTCGTCTATTAGTTTCGAAGCTGCGCGAATCTGAACTTTGGGATGAGGACAAGTTCCCCATGCTGAACAAGGTCGTGCAGTTCTACAACCAGTGGAGAGAATCTCTGGCACAGTATTCGGAGTGTACCGTTGAGGAAGCGAAGGTAGAGCTTATTCGCATTTTCTACGGTGGCCGGCCTTCCGTTGAAATCCCATATTTGCTCAAGCTTTGTGACGAGGTACAGCGTGCCGCTATGCTGTTACTGAAGATGCCGACTGCCAGAGTATTCGCTGATCTTTATGAAGATCGTCCTAATCCAGAGTTCAGTCGGCTCTCAGCTCTCCTGTCTTTTGAGGAGGCGAAGCTCATGCACATCATGTCAGAGCACATGGGAGACTCTGTGCAAATGCTGCTCTTCGATGGGTGCTATGTTGAATGCGACAGTCTTGCTGCAGAGTTGGATGTCGTCGAAGCGTGTCGGGCATGTGAAGAGAGTGTGATTCCCATGGCCATCAAGTCGTGGCCTTCCGGCACGGAGCTGTCAAGCATAGCAAGGCTGTTGATTCGCAAGGATCTTGGACTTTGGAGTATCTGCCGGGCTAGCTTGCAAGGGCCAACCTCGTCTTGCTTGCACTACGTGATTGCTGTGCTCCAGCCTGACTGCGACACTGACCTCTTGGAGGTTACGGAAGATGAAGGTGATATCTCCGCTAGGGAATTCAACGAGCACATGAGGTACAGTTCGCAGCGCGCTCCGCAAGACGCATACCGCATGATCTACATGGAGGAAGTGGATCTGAGCGAGGTGAATACCCTCAACGGTAACCTCATTGTCCATCAAGCAGCTCCAGGTGGTGGACATTGGAGTGGCATCCGATTCCTGGGCGACTCGACAGTATGTGTCGTGGATTCTGAGTCTAGCGGGCGTCATTTGCACACCACCTTCCAGATCCTGTCTCAGATTGTGTCCTCCATGGAGAATCTGTCTTGGTTTCGTCTTCAGACGCTTACCCACGATGTTGCTCTGGATCATCACGCAGCCTATGACCTTCGTGGATCAGGACCTTGCAAACGACCTGCGTCGCAAGCCTCAATCACAATGAAAGTGGATGTACACTGTCCAGATAGACTGGTGCTATCCTCACCCCTGCAGACGTGCTTGGAGTGTGGTGCCTCTATTCGGAAAGAGCGTGTGATCGAAGCACGCTTATATGCACTCGACGGGGTACATCATGTGGAACATTTGACAAAGAAATGCTCCAATCGCAATTGTGCAACATTGCACCACTACAACTACCGTTGGGTGGGCGGCAACAAGATCAACAGCTCTCATGCAAGTGATCTGGAATTTGTTTTCGTGAATCCCAAGACGGTCTTCACTCGATCTTTCCTGGATTATCATGGCATGCTGCAGTTTCGTGGGCATATCAGTGTCCATGCTATCAACTTTGCGCAAAAGGAAGTCATGTGGAAAGACGAAAATGAGCATGCTCGATGGCGGCTAGAATACTCTACCGCACAGTTGTATCTCAATGTCCTACAGGTCGGCGAGCTCATGTGGTGCGACTTGTCGGACCAGGACACCGACAAGAAACTCCTGTCGATCTGTTTGGAGAAGCCGCTTGCTGACAACTTCGTGCAGGAATATCACAAGTGGTTCCAATCCAATGAGATTACTGTTAAGGAGAGTAAGTCTATGTACGAGCTCGTGATCGATGGCCATGAAAAGGTTTCATCCAGGTGTTCTACTATTACTCCTGCCCATGGCGGACGGCCACGGAAGGACGGCACAGTCAAAAAGCGCACAAATGGGTGGTTTATGGCTATTCATCCAGAGTCCGGCCTCATCGTTGGTGTGCAGGAGATGATCCACCCTGGAGAACAATGACCTGGCAGTTAGGATGCTTGAAGATGCGGCTGAAATTCTTCCTGTCTTAGATTGTATCATCTATGACCGCATGTGCTGCGCTTTGCAAGCAGTGCGAAGGTCGGACATGCTCCGGGACATTAAGTATTTCTGCGTCGATAAGTTCCACGCACATGGTCATGGTACAACTTGTCCGTGCTCACCCTTGGTGCACAAAAAGCTGGACAAGAGATGAGGTGAACACCTCTGTGGCTGAGCAAACCTTCGCTTGGTTTCGCAATTATGCCAGAACATTCAATACCATGTCCCCGCAGACGCATTTCTTCTATGTTCTCTTCTTCGTGCACAAGCATAACGAGTTGATCCGCAAGAACAGTGTGAGTCACCTCAGCCCATTCAGTTCAGGCCGTAAGCGCCGCTGTTCTCAGCCGTACAGTTGCAGCAAATCATTCGCCTCGAAAGTTTTCCGTTGTCCAACTGCAAAGGTTTGCTTGCGGAGGCCAGCAGCCTGCATGGCGAAGCGTCCAGCGTCCTCGAAGTAGGAAGCTCGATCCGACAACATGCCAGTCTGCTTCATCGAAGAAAGAAGCTTGACATACGTGTACAAATTTTGATTTCTAGTCGACTGTCTCTTGCTGCGACAAGTCCGAGGGGTGACCAAAGAAGAAGAAGAAGAGTGAGCGAAGCAGCTGATAACTCTGTGCAAACTGAGAATTGCTGTCTCCGCGCCCTTGGCGGGCTATGAGAATAACAGGATTAAAGTGGGCGTCAGTTCAGCTGTTCAGAATAATACTGCGTTAAGACGTCATGCAAATGTTTGCTGGTGTATTCTGGGGAGTATGATGAAGACATTTCTAAAAAAAACTCGAGGAAAAACACGGAATTCCTCGAAAATACGCGCCGCCACGGCGTACCAGTCTCATATTCTTCTCGTGGCGTAGCTATGTGGTAAAAGGGTTTTGGGTTGAATCCACTTGATCCACTTGACGCTCCAACTCTCCGGGTAACAATCCTTAGGTCCGGTCGACTCGTCGTCTGACGAATACTACCAGTCTCGCCAACATTAGGTCTTGGGTAAGGTTCCTGGTTAGGTGGATTGTTGGGATACACTTCCGCTTGGGGTTGTTCTTCGGCTTCCACATAACGAACAGAATGTCTATTGGGGCATTCGTTTCCCCAATGTCCTTCTTGGTGACAAAGTCTACAAACTGTCCTTCCAAGCCGTTTCCCTTTGCCTTTCTTTCCTTTTCCTTTACTCTTTCCTTTTCCTTTTCTGCCTTTTCCACCTTCCTTTACCTTTTCCTTTTCCTTTACCTCGACCTTTGCCTTTGCCTCGTCCATGACCAAACCTGAAACCTCGACCTGCCTGCATGGCTCCAAATCCTCCAAACATTTTGAACCTTTCTTACCTTTGCCTTTTCCGGCACCTTTTCCTTTCCATTCTTTTCCTTTGTACTCTTCTCGGTTGACTTCCATCGCTTGATGTCCTCCATGGGGAAGCCCATTGTGGCGAAGCCAGAATTGCTTTCGTTTCGTGGGCCCAGAAACGGGGTCGTCCGCAGCATCATTTCTTGGGCTCATCCTGCTTCTATATCCACTGGAGATCAGTGTCAGTTTGCAATGTCATCGAGGTATCTCGAGGATCTTTTTAAGCCAATCGAGATCTTTGACGTTTATTAGGATGCATCGCTGCGACACGATCATCGAAGCTCCTGTCTAGGATTGCCAAGATCTATGGCTCTATGGAGTCAGCAATAGCCAATAGCTTGCAAGATCATCGAAGCTTGTTGAAGCCTTTTCTAACTCCAGCAAGTGGACTTGGAGCCAGCTCCGGCTTAGAATTCTCTGTAGTAAAGAAAGAAGAAAGGCAGCCCACGTGCTCGTTCAGGTCCGAGGCTTCTGGTGACCCCTTTAATACATCCGGGCCACAAACGTGTGGCTTTGAAGCCACATAAGCCACAAACGTGTGGTTTTGAAGCCACATCAAGGCCACTTAACGTGTGGTTCTCAAGCCACATCAACGTGTGGTTTTGAGGCCACATCATCTGAGCGGTCACAAGGTGTCCCACCATGCAAGTCCACCTTCTGCGTCACCGAATCCCGCTTTTTTGCTCGCCGGGTCTTATCCGGGTGTCACCGGGTCCCATGTTTCCCACACAAGAAGTTTCATTTGGTTGTCACATGTCCCATACTATGCTAGCCAGATCGAATCCGGGTCCGACCTGGGTCCCACCGGGCCCACCGGGTCCCATCCGGGTCCCACCTGGGTCCACCCGCGTCCACCCGGGTCCCATTTTTCTAGGGCCGGGTCCCACACCCCGTTTAGGTTTTAAAAGTTTAAATGAACGGCGAGGCGGGACCCATGCACGGTTTTTGTGCATGGAGCTGCCTTTAGCATTGTAGTCCAGGTCATGTCCCAAACGGTGTCAACACTTCTTCAGTGAAAGCATGCATGAATCAAAGCATGCTCTCGCGAAGCTCGCACTGCTTCAGCAGTTGAGGCACTCTCGTTTGCCGTGTGCTTTCCGAAGGTGGAGAAACGAGAGAAGACAGACCAGAAGAGTGCAGAGACTTCGGTGAGATTGGAAGGCTTCAGTTTCTGTCTCGAAACCCCACAAATGACGGTTCAAGAGGCTTTGCACTGTTGGTGAAATCGAAGCTTCGCGACTCCAAATGTCCCATTTTGGGGGTCGCGAATTCTTCTGCTTTGAGGCACGTCCGCCTGACTGCTACACAACAAGCGACAATGGCACACAGGCGCGCGTCCAGCTTGGCTTGGAAAAAAACAACCTTTCAGGATTAAGGCTTCCAAAACGAGCCTTGCTTCTAGAAGTACATTAAAACAACATGAAAGAAACGGGCAAGGGGAGGCCCGCTCAAGCGAAGCCAGAATTGCTGGACTTTTCCAGCCCTGCCGTTTGGCGGCCCCATTTTTGGGGTCGGGGTTCGAAGCCTCCAACTCATGCTCAAACTATATATTTAATGAGGCCGGACGCACGTCGCAGCCCTGTTTTCGGGGCCGCGAAACGGCTTCATTTTTGGGGTCGCAAATCGCAATGTTCGGGGCCAACCAGCTGGATCTCGGGCGTGCGCCTGTCTGCATTTGTTCCCGCAGTTTTGGGCATCATGCAGACGCAAGATTGAAAAGCCAGAAGTCTTGTCTAAAGCAGCTGCACGCTCACCTTAAATGCCACAACCAGCGGATTTGCAACTGTGCCTGTTTCTTTCATGTTGATTTAATGTAGTTCTATAAGAAAGCAAGGCTCGGCTTGGAAGCCTTAATCCTGAAAGCTTGTTTTTTTCCAAGCCAAGCTGGACGCGCGCCTGTGTGCCACAGTCGCCTGTTGTGTAGCAGTCAGGCGGACGTGCCTCAAAGTAGAAGAATTCGCGACCCCCCAAAATGGGGCCGTTTGGCGGCCCCATTTTTGGGGTCGGGGTTCCAAGCCTCCAACTCATGCTCAAACTATATATTTAATGAGGCCGGGCGCATGTCGCAGCCCTGTTTTCGGGGCCGCGAAACGGCCCCATTTTTGGGGTCGCAAATCGCAAATGTTCGGGGCCAACCAGCTGGATCTCGGGCGTGCGCCTGCCTGCCTTTGTTCCCGCAGTTTTGGGCATCATGCAGACGCAAGATTGAAAAGCCAGAAGTCTTGTCCAAAGCAGCTGCACGCTCACCTTAAATGCCACAACCAGCGGATTTGCAACTGGGGAGGCCCATTGTGGCGAAGCCAGAATTGCTTTCGTTTCGTGGGCCCAGAAACGGGGTCGTCCGCAGCATCATTTCTTGGGCTCATCCTGCTTCTATATCCACTGGAGATCAGTGTCAGTTTGCAATGTCATCGAGGTATCTCGAGGATCTTTTTAAGCCAATCGAGATCTTTGACGTTTATTAGGATGCATCGCTGCGACACGATCATCGAAGCTCCTGTCTAGGATTGCCAAGATCTATGGCTCTATGGAGTCAGCAATAGCCAATAGCTTGCAAGATCATCGAAGCTTGTTGAAGCCTTTTTCTAGCTCCAGCAAGTGGACTTGGAGCCAGCTCCGGCTTAGAATTCTCTGTAGTAAAGAAAGAAGAAAGGCAGCCCACGTGTTCGTTCAGGTCCGAGGCTTCTGGTGACCCCTTTAATACATCCGGGCCACAAACGTGTGGCTTTGAAGCCACATAAGCCACAAACGTGTGGTTTTGAAGCCACATCAAGGCCACTTAACGTGTGGTTCTCAAGCCACATCAACGTGTGATTTTGAGGCCACATCATCTGAGCGGTCACAAGGTCCCGCTTTTTGCAAGGAGTCCCAACCGGGTCCCCCCGGGCCCATCCAAGTCCCACCTTCTGCGTCACCGAATCCCGTTTTTTTGCTCGCTGGGTCTTATCCGGGTGTCACCGGGTCCCATGTTTCCCACACAAGAAGTTTCATTTGGTTGTCACATGTCCCATACTTTGCTAGCCAGATCGAATCCGGGTCCGACCTGGGTCCACCCGGGTCCACCCGGGTCCCATTTTTCTAGGGCCGGGTCCCACACCCCGTTTAGGTTTTAAAAGTTTAAATGAACGGCGAGGCGGGACCCATGCACGGTTTTTGTGCATGGAGCTGCCTTTAGCATTGCAGTCCAGGTCATGTCCCAAACGGTGTCAACACTTCTTCAGTGAAAGCATGCATGAATCAAAGCATGCTCTCGCGAAGCTCGCACTGCTTCAGCAGTTGAGGCACTCTCGTTTGCTGTGTGCTTTCCGAAGGTGGAGAAACGAGATAGAGAAGATTAGCATGGCCCCTGCGCAAGGATGACACGCGCAAGCCGAGAAATCTACCAACGTGAAGCACAAGACAACAGGGACAGCTGCAAGCTGCAGGAACTACAGACCAGAAGAGTGCAGAGACTACGGTAAGATTGTAAGCTCCGAACCCACAAGGAAGGCTTTGGAAGGCTTCAAGTTTCTGTCTCGAAACCCCACAAATGACGGTTCAAGAGGCTTTGCACTGTTGGTGAAATCGCAAGCTTCGCGACTCCAAATGTAGGG